CCTGCGAGCAGATACCCCCCGGCGTAAAAAAAAACGTACACATGGATTTATTATACTGTAAATTGTATAACATTACAGATAATAAAAAAAAATTATAATAATAAAATAATAAAAATAATAATAAAGAATAATAATAATAATAATAATCTAGAAATAGAAAAAACAAAAGAAATAATTAATATGTGCTTATGTGTATGAGTGCGGTCGTGCATACAAAAATGTGTACATATACTTATATGTACTAACAAATGGCGTGATGTAACAAAAATTTGTTTTCAAGAGAGAGAGAGGGGAGAGGGGGAGAGGAAAGGGGGAGGGAACAAGCAAGGAAGAAAAGAGGGAAGAAATAAGCATTGACAAAGTTTGTGCAGATATCTTAAATATAATAATAATGATTAAAATTATCGAAAGAATTTACCCTAGATTAAACAGCATATCATTATCGACCCACTTTATGTTTACAACTTCGTCCGGTTCCAATGCTCCTTGGCGTCCACAACCGATCGAAAAATCTTGCATATTTTTGAGAGCAGCTTTCAAAGCTTCCATTTTTTCTGGCATTATTTCTACCATTAATCCATCCTCAACAATACTAGATTTGGCAGAAAGACCCATAGAAGATTTTAGAGCACCATTGATGACGATGAAACTGGCGCCAGTTACTACATAATAGAAAAATTATATTTTTTAGATATCATTATATCAATTGCTTATAAACCTCTTACCTGTTCTTGGCTTGTTGTGAATGTTTATCGCTTGCGTTTGATAACTGCTCTCGTCACCAGTATTTGTTTGTATGCAAACTAAATGTGAATCAGCGGTTATACTAAAATTTGAGGCATAAGCTAAGACGTGATCATTCGAATTATGAAGTCCTTTTATGACTTGGTCGTATCGATTTCTAGGAAACATAACGTCCGTTGTACGATTTTTAAGGTGAATTGTTAAGCCCCTCACTCCTGGCAAAGTATATCCGAAATTTCTAAAATCTGCTAATACTTTCATAACAGTGTGTCCAATCTCAAAATATAACGCATTTCGAAAACGAACAGACACCAATGGGCAAGGATAATAACGATATTCCGCTCCAAGTCGTAAAAGTAATCTTAATGGAAACATTTTAGCCCATGGAGTTTCCCACCTAAAATGAATAGATATAAATGAAATTACAATCGTCAAATAAATGGCATTGTACAAAATAAATTACAGAATACATAAATCTGTTCGCCATAAAAATTCAATTTTACTTACAACCCTAGAAGTATTCAAGTTTTTCGATGACAATTTTTTTAGTGATGATTCTTAAGGTGATGATCCAAAAAAATATACATACATGTCGCGGCGTTTATCAACATGCGGCTTTATTTTTGAGTTATAAATTTTTGAAAATCCGAAAAATTGAACGATTCGCTACGAATTGAACGATTTCCTACGAATCGGATTCGCATTTGAGATTCATCAACTTTTCTTTTTTTTTTTAAAGTAAATGTTCTATTGTGTAATATGTTTGTAACTTCTTTCAAACAATTAGAATCGACATCATAATATTTCCTACAAAAAAAAACAATATTAAAACGTTTCTAAATTGTTAAAAAATTAGTTCCGCATACAAGAACTATTAATGACATGTATGTTTCGAGATGAAGAAGTCTCAAAACGATTTATTTATTGCAAAAGAAAAAAATTTTCTAAATGTTTTCTTGACAAGTTTTCCTTGAAAAACGCAATCTGAATTTTTCGGATTTTCACAAATTTATAACACAAGTCGCATGTTGATAAACGCTGCGACACTTATTTTTTTTTTACTCAAAAATAACCAAAAAAATTGACATTAAAAAAATTCGATAAATACTTCAGGAATAATAGCCTGTTATATCAAAATAGAAATTATACAAGAATTTCATTCTAAATTAAAGTTAAAACATTAAATTTTACGTATTTAGAACTGTGCAAGTGTGACAATTATTAATAGACTGCAGATATTATGCAAAATACTTAAGATTATATTTTACATAAATTGCATCTGAGATGGCAATCTCAACTTTTTTACTTTATTTTTTAATAACTCTTTAACGAACAACGATCGATTGTTAAAACTGTCCGATGGTTAATATACAGTTAAATATTTTGCATAAATATCTCCTAATTATTAACAATCCTAAAGACAGTTTAATCTTTCGTGGTTCTTCTTCGTGGGTCAAAACCGCGTTTAATTTTGCGCCAAATGTTCTGGATTAGAATAAAATCAATGTTTATATGTTTTTGTACTTTTTGTAATATTTTTACACACTTTTGTATTTATGAGCCTAAAAATATTTTTTTCATAACTTTTTTACCAAATATATATTGCATTGAAATTCAACTGGGCGTTAGGAGTCTGCACTATGTTGCGCAATAATTAAATATGAATAATAAATTAAATTTGTACGTTTCGACTCATGTATTGAGTCATCTTCAGCAATAAATTACCGCTTATCGTACGCAATATTGTCGAACTATGTACAAAATCGCAGTTCCGACCTCCAATTATGCAGTCGCAGTGAAAGCGCAATGAAAAACAAGCATCATCAACATAGTCTAATGTTGTACCAACTAGTTGCAAAGCTAAGTGGTGGAACTCGAGCTATCAATTACAACAATAATTTTAAATAGATGGAGATTTATTATATATATATATATATATATATATATATAAACATAAATTAAATCTCAATCTATTTAAAATTACTGTTGTAATTGATAACTCGAGTTATATACATATATTGGCAAATAACTCATCCCGCTTCCAACAATGATCGCACGTGAATTCAAACTTCATCAATGCAATTAAATAATTTAACATTCACGTTGTCAAAATAAAATTAAAAATAATTTTACTATAAAAGAGAGTCATGTAGTTACAATGTTGGTCACAGAATAATCGTTGAAACACTAAGAAATGTATCATGAGAACAGAAGCATATCGATCAATTGTAAAAATAAACAAATTATAACTTATTGAGAATTTCTATGTAATCGTGGTTTGCCTCATTGTCAATTTGCTTGTTGAGACCATTGGATTAGCGATTTATGTAGAGCATCTTCGACATTATTCGCTTATTATAATTTCTTTCAGTATCCAGAATTCTCACATTTTCCCAATCGAAGTCATGACTGCAAATCACTCTATGCTTTATTATAACCGAACGAGTGGATGTAACTCTACGTATATGGTATGGTTGTGGTATTCTGTTAATCTCGTTTTTAATTTTCTTTTCATTGGTCTACATAGGAAGCGTTACATTCACGACATTCGATGTTGTAAATCATATTCCTCTTGGAAATTTAAAATGATATTACTGGTTTTTAATGAATTAATAATGTACAAATAATGATGTGTGTGCGTGTATATATGTATATGTGCGCGCGTGCGTGATGTGAATGCGTATGTAGTATATGTATAATCTTATAAAACGAAAAATAGTTAAGAAATTACAATTCGTTCTACCTCAAATTTAGTCGGTATGTACAAAGCTATTTCTTACAAAGCTATCTCTCCACATGGCACACGCATCACTTGGCAATACGACGAATGATGAGTATAATCTATAATGGAGTATAATGGTCATTAATGAAATCGACAACTATCGATGGAATCGATTTATTGATTCACGCTGCCATTATTAGAGTAAATGTTCAGTCTCTAGTGATAGGCCTGACATATGGTATTGTAAGATTAGAATTACAAGATGCTAGAACGCATAATATTATTTAATATTAATTAATATTAAGTAATATGATAACCGAACGAATGGATGCAACTCTATGTATGGTTACAGTGTTCTGCTAATCTCGTTTTTAATTTTTTTCCCGTTTGACTTACATAGAAAGCGTTACAATCACGACATTCGATCTTGTAAACTACAATACATTCCTCTTGAAAAATTTAGGCAAAGGATCTTTGTGTACTTTAATGAATTTGTTAATACTGTAATGAGCAACCTTATTATAGACCATTAATAAATTTGCAAAACTTGTTAGATATTCCATTGATAAAAGGAATTATGGACCATCTGATATGTTCTTTTTTAATCTTGTTAGTAGAAGTCTTACTAACACAAAGATCCTTTGCCTAAATTTTCCAAGAGGAATGTAATTTAACCGTCGTAACCGTATATGTAGAGTTACAGCCAGTCGTTCGGTTAGCATATTACTTAATATTAATTAATATTAAATAATATTATGCGTTTATAGAGTTCTAGCATCTTATAATTCCAATCTTACAATACCATATACGTCAGTCTATCTGATAGTGGCTCGCTAGAGAGATCCTTTATTAGAGACTGGACATTTACTCTAATAATAGCAGCGATGAATCGGTAAATTTTCGATTCCATCGATGGTATCGATTTCATTCAGGACCGTTATACTCCATTATAGATTATACTCATTCGTCGTATCGTCAAGTGATACGTGTGTCACATAAAGAGATAGCTTTGTAAGTACATACCGACTAAATTTAAAATAGAACGGATTGTGATTTTTTAACTACTTTTCTTTTTATAAGATTATACATATACTACATACGTACTCACATCACGCACGCACACGCACATACATACATACACGCACACACATCATTATTTGTACATTATTAATTCAAAACCAATAATCAACAAGATTGGAAACAAGACTATTTATGTTAAATACATTATTTTCAAATACGAAGCGCCACTACGGTCTGAATGTTAAGATGTTGAACTATATAGTCTGTTCAAGGTCTGGCCATTTTGAATGTTCAGTTAATTTTTGACAGCTGCTTTGCTTGCACGTGTTTTGGCTCGTCTTCGATTTTTGCCTATTCCAAAAAATGGATCAAAGAATCTGTATCAAATTTTGTGTGAAAAACAAAATTAAGTGCGCGGACGCATTGCGAATGTTGACTGTGGCATATGGTGAAGCTACCTTGGACCGAAGCAACGTTTATCAGTGATACAAAATGTTCTCAGAGGGCCGAGAAGATGTGAACGACGAAGAGCGTGCCGGACGCCCGAGCACGTCAACAACAGACGAAAACATTGATGAAGTGAAGAAAATAGTATTGGCCAATCGTCAAATCACCGTTAGAGAAGTTGCTGAGGACCTAAACATATCGATTGGCTCATGCCATTCATCAATTTTTACCAATGATTTGGGCATGAGACAGGTCGCCGCGAAATTGGCTTTTGCACCATGATAACCTCCGTCCTTGCTCACACATCGTTGCTTGTGCGCGAATTTTTGGCCAAAAACAACACACTAATGATGCCGCAGCCACCGTATTCCCCAGATCTGGCCCCCTGTGACTTTTTCTTGTTCCCGAAACTGAAGAGGCCCATGAAAGGACGACGCTATGCTACGATTGAGGAGATAAAGACGGCATCGAAGGAGGAGCTGAACAAGATCACAAAAAATGATTTTTTGAAGTGCTTCGAGGATTGGAAAAAACGTTGGCACAAGTGTATAATATCTGATGGGGATTACTTTGAAGGGGACAAAATAGATATTCATGAATAAATAAATAATTTTTGAAAAAACACAAAATTCGTGATAGTTTTTGAACAGACCTCGTATATTCATATAAATGAATTAATTTGAGAAATGATAATTGCGTGCTAATATGGTTGTCGGATTTTCAACGCAATTAATCTGAAATATTAATAATTCCCCTCAAACTTCTCAAATTAATCTTAAAAAACTGTAATAAACTTATTGCGAAAAATATTGCCTCGGCTGGGAGTCGGACCCGGATCTCTTGCATTCCGTGCGAGCGTCCTAAGCCTTTAGACTACCGAGATAAATATTTTGTACAAGTGATACATATCATTAAAAATTAATATTATTTATTTTGTATGGAATTTAACTTGGCCAATTGTTAATGTCTTTTTTATGAATGATACATAAAATTTTGTGGAATTTAACTTGGCGCCAGTTTTGTTGATATCAAATTTTTTATACGAATGATATATATCATTAGAGTTAAGTAAATAAAAAGATAGTATTACACTTAGGTTTTAATTTGATAGAATTTTTAATTTGATAGAATTTACCTTGATTAGTTAAGAATGTAGCATCTTTTAATTTTTCATTTAGTACATTAGTTTTTTTCGAGAACTAATTTTT